AACCAAGGTACGTGCCCTTAGCGGGAACCAAACCCGGGTCTCTCAGGACCGCAGGCCGAAGCTCTAACCGCTGAGTCAAACTGGCCAGGGCTGCCAGTATTCTTATAAGGCTGTTTGCTCATGTTAAATACGAGCAGGCTTACTGTAGGGTTAGTTGTTTTTTGTTTTTTGTTGTCCTGTCAAATTGCTAACTCTATTATGGAAGATAAAACCATTTCCATTTCCAGTTTAGAACTTTGATAATATAGGGCAAAATCAATCTGTTACACCTTCTGAGATGATAAAAGAGTTTTATATTTGAATTGGGATGGTGATTATAGGGGTGTACACATTTGTCAGATCTCATCAACCTGTACACATTTTTGTTGTTAATCCTCACCCAAGGATATTTTCCATTGATTTATAGAGATTGGAAGGGAAGGAAGGAGGGAGAGAGAAACATCGATGTGAGAGAGATACATCTATTGGTTGCCTCCCGCACAACTCCAACCAGGGCCTGGGGTTGAGTCCGCAACTCAGGTATGTGCTCTCGACCAGGAATCAAATCTGAGACCCTTTGGTCCATGGGCTGATGCTCCAACTGCTGAGCCAAATCAGCCAGGATTCAACCTGTACATTTAAAATGGTGCATTTTATTATGTGTAAATTAAGTTTTGAGAGCCCTGGCCGGTTTGGCTCAGCGGTTAGAGCGCCCACCTGCGGTCCGGAGAGACCCGGGTTCGGTTCCCGCTAAGGGCATGTACCTTGGTTGCAGTTTGTCCCCAGCCCTGGTTGGTCGTGCGGGTGGCAGCCACTCGATGTGTCCCTTTCACATCGATGTTTCTCTCTCTCTCTTCCTCTCTCTCCCTCCCACTCTGTCTGTACAAAAAATGGAAAAATGTCCTCAGGTGAGGATAAAAAAATAATAATAATAAATTAAGTTTTGAGACAATTATAAAATTAAATATAGTTTTAAGAGATATTTAAAGAAATGATTGCCTACATAAAATATATAAAGTCCAGCCAGTGTGGCTCAGTGGTTGAGCATCAACCCATGCACCAAGAGGTTGCTGGTTCGATTCCCTGTCAGGGCACATGCCCCAGTTGTGGGCCAAATCCCCAGTGGGGGGCATGCAGAAGACGTCCAATTAATGTTCTCTCTCATCGATGTTTCTATCTCTCTCTCCCTCTCACATCCTCTTTCTATAAAATCAATAAAGAAAAAAAAAAGAAATATATACTTAAAGATGTTTTTGGTCTTAGAAAATTAGGGCATAGAAAAAGAACAGATATATTTAACTATAAAATACTGTGATTCACCAGTTAGCACAAACTTACATTTCATGGAGTTCACCTGTTGACTTTGAACATAAGTTATGTGGTCAAGGATGTAAAGATTTTGAGCTCTTATTTCAAATTGCATTGTCTTGCCCTGGTCGGTTTGGCTCAGCAGTTGGAGCGTTGGCCTGCGGACCAGAGTCCCAGGTACAGTTCCCGCTAGGGGCACATACCAAAAAAAGAATAATAAAACAAATTGCATTATCTTACCATATTCATCTTCAAAGTGCTACTCTTTGAAAAAGCAAGTACTATGTTTACAGATCTGTTTGGAAATGTTCAACAACATTTAGATTTTTTAAATTTTTTCTTTTTATTGAATTTATTGGGGTGACACTGGTTAACAAAATTATACAGGTTTTAAGTGCACAATTCTACAGCACATCATCTGTACACTGTATTGTGTGTTCACCACCCAAGTCAAGTCTTCTTCAATCAGATCCCTTTTCTCCCCATATCCTCCTCCAACTCCTCCCACTACACCCACCCCCAGTAATAACCACACTCTTGTTCATTAGTTTTTTCTCTTATATTTGCTCAATCCCTCTACGTATCCCCCACTCTGCTCCCCAAAACCTCCTCCTGACAGCTGTCAGTCTGTTCTCTATGAGTCTGTTTCTATTTTTTTTAATTCATTTTGTTCATGAAATTCCACATATGAGTGACATCATATGGCACATGTCTTACTCTGACTGGCTTATTTCACTTAGCATAATATTCTCCAGGTTCATTCATGCTGTCGCAAAGGGTAAGATTTCCTTTTTTACAGCCGAGTAGTATCCCATTGTGTAAATGTGCCAATAGCTGTTTTCCACTCATCTACTGTTGGACACTTAGTCTGCTTACAAATCTTGGCCATTGTAAATAATGTTGCAATGAACATAGGGGTATATATATTCTTTCGAATTAGTGTTTCAGGGTTCTTCAGATAAATTCCCAGAGGTGGAATTGCTGAGTAAGAATGTTTAATAAGCATTGATCTCTAGCATCCAAAAGCATTAAGAATATATGTGTACAAAGAAAAATTACGCCCTAGCCGATTTTGCTCAGTGGTTAGAGCGTCGGCCTGCAGACCAGGGTCCCGGGTTTGGTTCCCACTAAGGACATGTACCTCAGTTACAGTTTGTCCCCAGCCCCGGTTGGGGTCTTGTGGGTGGCAGCCATTCGATGTGTCTCTCTCACATCTATGTTTCTCTCTCTGTGTCTTCTCCCCTCTCTCCCTCCCACTCTATCTGAAGATAAATGCAAAAATGTCCTCAAGTGAGGATAAAGAAAAAAAGAAAAATTACATTTTTAATATACAGTTGACCTTTGAACAACATGGGTTGAACTGCATGAGTCCACTTATATGAAAATTTTTTAAATAGTTTTATTGAAATATACAAAAAACTGCAAATATTTAATGTATATAATTTGATGGGTTTGGACATATGAAAACACTCATGAAACTATCACCATAATCAAGGTAATAGACATGTCCAACACCTCCCCACGTTTCCTAGTGTCTCATGTGTGTGGTAAGAGCACTAACCTGAGATTTACGTGAACCAATTTGAAATGCACAGTTCTGTATTGCTAACTACAGGCACTATGTTGTACAGCAGAGCTCTAGAAATTACTCATCTAACATAACTAAACTTAATACCCATTGACCAGAAATTCCCCATTTTCCTCACCTCCCAACCCCTGGAAACCACTATTGTATCCTCTGCTTCTATGAGTTTGGCCATTTTAGTAGCTTTTCAATAAATATAGTCAGCTCTATAAATCTCCATTTCACATTTGCAGATTCAACCAAAATACTGTTTTCAATCCATGGGTCAGAATCCATGAATAAGGAGGGCCCACTGTATGCATTGATCTATGCCATTTTATATAAGGGACGTACTCGTGCATCTGTGGATTTAGGGATTCATGGGGGTCCTGGAACCAGTCTCCTGCAGACACTGAGGTATAACTGGAGTTAAGTTTTTGGGGAGTCCAAAGTTATATGAAGTACACCAGGCTAACTTGACCTAGATATTTAAGTGTGCAGGGTGGGTGTCAATGTCTCTAACACCCACATTGTTCAAGAGTCAATTGTATAGCATAAAAAGAAAATTTTATGAAAAAATATGGCATTCTTAGGAAGATATCTGACAATAAATGTGCCAAACCTTCATGGAAAAAATATATAAAACTTTACTGAAATACATTAAAGAATACCTACATAAATGCAGATACTGAGTTGATGGCCTGAAAGATTTAGTAACATAAAGATGTTGATTCTACCAGTAGTGATTCAATTCCGTTCCAGACATGACACCATATGATTTTCTGTGGAACTCTGCAAGCTTAATGTTAAATGCACAGGAAGAAATGAAAGGCACAGAAGGGCAAGTCACTTCCAAAAATGAACAAGTTATAGGAACCTGTCTCTCAGATATTAAGAAATAGCATAGCCCTGGCCGGTTTGGCTCAGCGGTTAGAGTGTCCGCCTGCAGTCCGGAGAGACCCGGGTTCGGTTCCCGCTAAGGGCATGTACCTCGGTTGCAGTTTGTCCCCGGCCCTGGTTGGTCATGCGGGTGGCAGCCACTCGATGTGACCCTTTCACATCGATGTTTCCCTCTCTCTCTCTTCCTCTCTCTCCCTCCCACTCTGTCTGTACAAAAAAAATGGAAAAATGTCCTCGGATGAGGATTAAAAAAAAATTTTTTTTTTTTTAAAAAGAAATAGCATAAAATTATAAATGATACTTCTATACTAATACAGAGATTAATAAATGGATTAGAACAGAAATATAAACACACACACGCACACACACACGCACACACACTGAGCCCTGGTCAATTCCTGGTCAAGGGCACATACCTGGGTTTCAGGTTCAGGTCCCTGGCCTGGTTGGGGCACCTGCAGGAGGCAACCAATTGACGTGTCTCTCTCACATCAATGTTTCTCTCCACCTCCCTCCTTCTCTCTCCCCCACTCCCTCTGTCCTTCCACTCTCTCTAAAAGTCAATGAAAAAATATCCTCAGGTGAGGATTAACAATAGATGAGTCAACTCAAGGGAGGCAGTAGCAGAGCGGCAGCAGGAATACAGCTGGGCCTTAAGTCCTACCCAGGGCCCTGCAACTCAAGGGTCCCTGTGCAGCTCAGGGTTTTGCCCTTGTTGGGAGGGGGGACTGCTGAGCGAAGGTGGTGACAGGAGAGAGGAGCAGAGGTACCTCATAGGGAATAAACTGACATGTTACTTGAAGCCTAATGCCAGCCCCATGCTACTCCCGTACCCCCAGACTAGTGAAGCCTGGCAATGAGTCTGAGGTCAATGAGGGGGAGGTCAGTACTCTGTAATAGCTCCCCTAGCCCCAGCTGCCCTGGAGCCTGCTAAGTTGGATTTCAGAGCCTGTGAGGGCCACTACGCGCAGCACATGAGCAACAGGGAGATGCCCAAAGAGTTACCTTTAGAATCAAACCCTTCTGACCAACCAAAGGCAAGCACAATTTTTCTGAACAAATATGAAATGGATGAGCAAGAAAAGAGGAACTACTTAAACCATGTATTTCCAGGGCACCTTACTAAAAGTATAGCTAGCTCATGCTCAACAATATTCTTAGATGACAGCACAGTTTGCCAGCCTAGTCTTGAAACCACAGCCCAGTGTGTGACCTTAGAAATATATTTCCTCATAAAGAACAGAGCTGGACTGTTTCTTGGCCTTTGGGCTAAGATCAAGCATAGATACCTGTTCTTATCCATTTAACATCTGATCTGTCCTCTACCTGAGAGCAACATATTAAGTGGACTTTTAGAGCAAGGAGATGGAATGAGAGATTGCTCCATCCTCACTGTGCATCAACCTGGTGGTGTAGTACCTCCAGGAACGGTGCACCCCCTCGAGAACAAAAAAAAGAACAGAACAGAGCTGGAAATAGATCATAGGATATTTTTGATGCACGATTACATCCATTCATATGAGAAATGGTTCCAGGTGATACTTTAGGCATGATCCTAAACCCAAATTTATATACAGATTTTTTTGTACTGTTTTCAGAGCCACATAGCTAACAGCTAACTGTGCAACAGTAACTGGTTTACATTGAAAGGCATTTGACTTACACTGAGATCAATATTTGTCCTATTATTTGGAAAAGAATTGCTTTGAGAGCCATTATCCTTGCCTACAAGTTTTGGGACAATGGAGCTGTCTGGGAGGTGGACTGCTGCCTGCTCCTTGGGGTATAGTTACAGTTGAAGACATAAATTTTGCCTATAAACAAAGCCAGTGGAGAAGACCCGCCTGCACCAAATAATCCCAGGAATCAATCACTCCCAGAATAAGCATAATTTCTAGGTGATCATCATCTCAAGATTGACCATTAGTCCTGGCCATTGAAGAAAGCATATTCAGTAAGCGGGCAGGTCGGATGAAGCCTCCATGCGCTGTGGAGTTCCCACCTGGGCCAGGTGACGTGCTCCATGGTAAACTGCCTGCTTCTGAAGAAGGAAAGAAAGCATTAGAGACAGTCCAGGTGAAATACTAATTGCTACTTAGAAGGTGGAAGCAGAAAGACCCTCAGGGCTGAATAGCCACCAGAGGCTCCTCGGATAGCCTCCATGAAGGGAGGATGTTCACTGATCCCGCTTAGGAACAAACCTCAGTTCCAGGTTGGCTGTGCGAGCCTGGTGAGGCGTCCGCTCCCGGGGAACTATGTGCTGTCATCCAGGACCACCCTAAGCAGGAGCTGCTCATTGCATCCTGCATTTTCCTTCATACTGGAGACAAAGAAACAGCTGAAAATGTGTTCTTGTTTTTTTAATGTGGAGAAAGTAACACAGAAACGGGATGGACCATGGGGAAAGATAATGGTTTTAAAAAACAAAGCTTTCCTTCACCAGAGTCAGAAAAACTTCGCGGAAACTCACAGATTAGTCACAGAAATTTTAAGGATTGACCCAATAAATGCAGTGGCCAAAAACAATGCCATGTGTCAGCTGTACCTGGGCAAACTCAAGAACTCCCTGCGGCAGCTTGAGGCCACGGTGCAGTGGGACTTCAGGCACTACCTACAAGAGAGTGTGCGATTCAGACTGACCACCGTGCATGAGCTAGAATGTTTCCAGACCATGCAGAAGAAGCAGTCCCTGCTCAAGGCAGTTGTCTGCAAAAAAGGAGACAGCTTCAACATGCAGTACCACTCATGTGCTGGGAGCACCAGGTCTTTGTAAACTGTACATGGGAGCTATGACATGAATGTGACTGGCATATTCAGTGAAGCCTCTCTCACTGGTGTCTGGGAGTGTGTCTCCTTGGCCCAGAGCCAAGACTGTTGGGCAATTTGTGGAACTCCACCCAACTCAACACAGCAGCTCTGCACTGTTTGTGAATATGGGGTAAATACGCCATTAGGATGGTGAGCATAGAGAAAATCCAGAGGATGCACTACATCCCTTTTGTTTATTCCTGGAAGCTGCTCTGCTTAGTTTATTAATTCTCAGTATCATCAGCTGAAAATGTAATATAAACCATTTTCACTCTGTGCCTGAGTGTCTAGAGCATTTATAAATATGGAAGAGGCACCAAAAAAATAAAATTATTTTTTAAAACCCATGTAATGTTGCTAAAGGGGTATTTAAAGGGCTATCTGTGGCCTTAAATGTTTATATTAAAAAACAGACTGAAAAGTAATGAGCTATATTTCCAAATTAAGGGTACAACACTGATTTAAAAAAAAAAAAAGCAATCCCACATTTGCAACATTTATAAAGTTTCTCTCCCACTCTGAATTTTTGGTGCAAAGGTGAAGTGCCAGCAGAAGTTTTCCTCAGCGGGGCTTTCCCACGTGCTTCATTCCTAGGGCTCCTCTTCACTGTGAGTTCTCACATTTTCCCTTTGGAGTGAATGACTATTGAAGGTTCCCACAGTTGTAGCATTGGTACATCTTCACCCCTGTATGTACCCTCTTGCGAGCAGTTGGGTTAGAGCTCCGATTGAAGGTGTTTCCACAGTCGTGGCATTGGTACAGCTTCTCCCCAGTATGGGTTCTCATATGCACCGTCGGATGAAACTTCCTGCTCAAGTTTTTGCCACAGTCACTGTACAGAAGTTTCTCCCCAGTGTGCACTCTCATCTGCAGTCAGGTCACTGCTCCTGATGAAAGTCCTTCCCCAGTTACAGCATCCATGCAAATTCTCCCAATTGTGTATGGCAGAGCTTGAGCTAGATCTGAAGAATCTCCCACACTGTTATACTCAGAGTTTGTCTACAATGTGAGTTCCCAAGTGTATCCTAAAGGATGAATGGTGACTGAAAGGTTTCAGATGGTTTCTCGCCAGTATGAGATTGATCATGGATTTTAAGGGATGAAGGATAACAACACTTTTCCACATTCCTTACAGTCATTGAATTTCTCTCTTGTGTAATTTCTCTTGGGCAAAAAAATATCAGAATTTCTTCTGGTGACTTTTCCATATAGACTATATTCATGGGATTTTTCTCCAGGGTGAGTTGGTGCCTGTTAAGGGACAAATGGTAACTAAAGGTTTCTTCATTTTCATTGCCCTCACAGGGATTTTTACCCCAGGGAAAGTCTAAAGTGTCAAGAAAGGAAAATCCATCCTGGCCAATTGGGCTCAGCAGTTAGACTGTCGGCCTTTGGACCAAAGAGTCGCAGGTTTGATTCTGGTCAAGGGCACAAACCTCACTTGTGGTTCATCCCTGGCCCTGGTTGGGGTTGTGCGGGAGGCAACCAGTCCATGTGTCCCTCTCATGTCAATGTTTCTCTCTCTCTCTCCCTCTCCCGCCCTCCCTCCCACTCTATCTGAAGATAAATAGAAAAATATCTTTGGGTGAGGATTAAAAAAAAAAGAAATCAAAGTCCTACATTAGGAGTTGCCCCCACTTCCAGAACATGCCTGCTGCTTCTGCCCGTGGAGTTCTCAAAGTGAACAAGGTGAACACTCTGCCACAAGGTCCTGTCACAGTCGTTACATCCATGAGGCTTATTATGTAGACTTTTTCTGATAATTGTTTAAACAAACACTGAATTGTGTGTTAATAGTCAGTCTTAGAGCCATATTTGTGGATATGCTTACTTGTGGGGATTCTCCATGAATAAATAAATTTTGAAATTAGTTTAGAATGTTCCCTAAACTCCTAATACTCAGAGATTCTCTCCTTATAAATGACTTCTCTTGGTTGGACATCACTGGCCCCAACTGCCTCTCCTTGTGGCTGTTCTTCTACCTCAAGGCAATCCAAGACTTCCTCTGCAGAAAACCGGCAAGGAGCCCTGGACAGCCTTACCCTTTTCCTGCCAGTAGATGGTTTTTCCCAAACTTTATTCTGCTTTGCAGTAGTCTCTTTGGTTTTAAGTTGAAGTCAAGATTTCTAGTCTGAAATTAATAGAAAGGGGGAAACTAAGTTCTTGAAGAAAGAAAGAAAATAAGGTAACTTTAAAAAATAAGCCAGGCCCATAAAAAATTTTTTCAGATACTGACGCTAAGCATGAGAAGTCAATGTGACAGGGAAGAATAGACCAGCAGTTAAAGACAGACTTCAAGGATTTCTGCATGTGAAAAATTTGACAATGACAGGAACAAGGAGTAGAAAATGGCAGGTGACTTGCTAAGAAATAATTTTGTCAAAAATGAGATGGGAGCTAATAGTCTGATAGAGGGTATTATCAAGTGAGAAAAATGTAGGGACAGTGAAAAAATGGACAAACAGCCCTGGCCAGTTTGACTCAGAGGTTAGAGTGCCGGCCCGCAGACTGAAGGGTCTTGGGTTTGATTCCAGTCAAGGGCACATACCTGGGTTGCAGGTTCGATCCCAGAGCCCATTTGGGGTCGTGTGGAGGCAGCCAATTGATGTGTCTCTCTCACATCAATGTTTTTCTCTTTCTCCCTCCCTCCCTCTCTTCCACTCTATCTAAAAATCTCTGGAAAAATATCCTCAGGTGAGGATTAACAACAACAAAAATCTACCAATGAAGACATAAAGCAGGCCTTACCCACATTCTCCAGCATCACGTCTCTGTACAGCATTTTCTGAGCAGTGCCTATCAATAGATGAATGGATAAACAAAATGTGTATAACTCTGTTGATGCACAAAATGTCCAACCCTATAGGGAATTTTTATAAGACTTTATTTGAGCCAAACTGACAACACATGCTATGGGAAAAGATCTCAGATGCTAAGGAGAATAACAATTTTACAACTTCCTTTATGCATTTGAAATTAAGAAGGAACTGTAAGGAATATTACATGGGGGAAGAAAGGCAAGGCAAGGATTGGAATATAGGAGAGTTAACAAGATTATGTGGTTTCTTGAGGATGGTTATGGCTTATTTCAAAATTATGTTAATCTACATGCACAGAAATAATGGGCAGGGCTTACTTAAGGCAAAGATAAAACTTTTACTAAAAAGTTATAGGCCTGAGGTGTGAATGCCCACCATGACCTGCCCAGTTAGGAAAGTAGGATCAGATCACCCTGTGAGGTTACTTTCTGTAGAACCCCTTTTTCATCTACAACTTACAATGGAATATTATTCGACCTTAAAAAGGAATGAAATCTTTACTCATATACAGTTTGTAGTGAATAAGATTAAATACACACACATCTAGCTATCTGCACAGGTATAAGGGTTCCTCTTGGCTACAATCCTATGAGTTGCTGGTTGAAGGCATAGTAATAGTTAACGTTTTTATAACCATAAATTCTAATTCCCCATCATGAAAGAACTTTGAAAACATTATGCTAAGTGAAATAAGCTAGACACAAAAGGATAAATATTGTATGATTCTACTTGAATGAGGTGCCTACAACTGCTCAATTCAGAGAAAGTAGAATGAGGTTACCAGGACAGGGAGTTCGGTGTTAGAGGAGTTAGT